CCACTACAACCTTCCCCCCCTCCCACACACACACACAGGAGACCCACTGCCTCCTCTCTGGCCCAGGAGTGGCCACAAGCCCAGTTCTGTAGTCAGACTGGGTTCTGATCCACTCGCCATCAAATGGAGCTGTGTGCTCTTTGTAAGTGGCTTAACCTCTCTGAGTCTTCTGCCCAGGCCCCGGGTCCTTAAGCAGTAGCCCAGAGAGGATCTGGTCCGTTGGTCCCAGCAAGTATTCCAGCAAGAGCTGATTTGCTGGTGCGTCAGGTTTGGGTCTGAGGCCGGCGACCCACCTTGTTGGTGCCGAGAACGCGATAGGGTCAGTGGTGCCCACCAGCCCCGGGAGCCCAGCTGCTTTCCAAGGACCTGCCACAGCCCTGTCCATCTCCTCCCATCAGCCGGAGCCTGGTCTGCGAGCTCTGGGGTTTTCTCGCCAGCCCTTCTGGGGCTCACACCTCCCCTTGCCACACCAGGGGATAGACCTGGCTGGAGGGCCCTCGGGTGGCCCTGTCCATCAGCGCTTCTCCAGGCCTGGCCTGGGTGAATCAGGACCCAGGGAGAAGCATCCAGGAAGTTGGCCCTGGACCCCCCCGGGGATCTGCTGGGCGCTAGGGTGGTCCCAGAAGACACAGAGGGAAGAAGGGCTGGGAGAGAAGGACTGGAAGAGGAAGGAAGAAATCCTGGGGCCGTGGCCACAGTAGGCACGCGTGGGCCCCATGTGCCACGAGGGAGTTTCAGCGGAAACTCCCCAGCGCCTGCTCATCAGCCTTAAAAAGGAAGGAAATTCTGACACCTGCTACAATAGGGGTGAGGCTTGAAGACGTTATGCTGAGTGACATGTTAGTCTCGCATAAAAAAGGACAAATCTGTTTGATTCCTCTTATCAGGGGTCCCTCCAGTGGTCCAATTCGTAGAGACAGCAGAGTGAGTGGTGGCTAACGGGCTGGGGTGGGGGTGGGGGGTTGGTGTTTCATGAAGACAAGAGTTTTAGTTGGGGAAGGTAAGAAAGTTCTAGAAGTGCACGGTGGTGATGGATGGCCAGCAATGTGAGCACACTCAGTGCCGTTAAACTACACACTTAAAAAGGGTGAAAGCGGTGAATTAAGGGGCAAAAAAAAGTTACTGCTCTGAAGTCCAGAGCCAGAAAGGCCCCGGGGTCTTGCCCTCTTTTGTCTAGTCCCAAGCTGGAGGGTCGACTCGCTCAAGGTCGCAGCGGGTGGGGTCAGCCCAGCCAGCCCCAGAGTGGCCTTCCCTCCTAGCTCCCCAGGAGCCTGGGGTACCCCCCACCCCATCAGCAGCTTCCTGGGGTGGGGGCCAGCCTCCCCCACACTTTCTCACTCCCAAATGTCCTGCCCCTCCATCAAGGTCATCCCGGAGAGGCGGGGAGATCAGTAGTACACAGCCCCCTCCCCTCTTAGGAGCTCAGGGAGGGAGTCTAGGTTGTTCCAGAAACAGCATCCTCCCAGCCCCCAGCTCTCTGGGCTGCCCTGGGCCAGCAAGAGAGCAGACAACAGGAAAGGGGACCGCTCAGGTGGATCCTGCAGGTGGTGCCTCTGCGTGGGGGGTGGGGGGTGGGGGCCCGGAGGGGCCTAAAGTGCTTCCTCCTCCCAGGACTGTGGGGAAGTCCCGGTAGTGAGTGTAGGGGCCCAGCTTCTGGTAGGCTCCCTAGCAAGAGAACGATGGGAGGCCCCTGTTGTCAGCCTTTGTCCAAGGTGCTTCCTTTGGTCGCACGCAGTCACCTTCCCAAGGCCCAGGGGACACCCACCCCGTGGTGTTTCCACAGTTCAGGCAGCTGGATGACTAGTCCCTTCAGAGAGAGTCCAGGGAGAAAGACCCATTGAAGAGCTGGGAACAGTAACGAGCCAGGCACACCAGGACCGGATTAGAGAGACTGAGGGAGCCCGGCTGGGCAATCCGAGTTGGCTCACGCTCCAGTGCTGCCTGGGCCACTTCCTAACTGGTCCTTGACCCCAGCGCTTTGTCTTTCTCGAGTTTCCAACCCCTGTTGCATTGCACCCCATCCCCACCCCCACCTGTTCCAGAGAATCACAGGAATGTTCCATATTTATTTGATTTTTTTTTTTTTGTAAAACCCATCGTTTCCACGTCTGCTTTTAAAATCAAATGAGTTGAACCATGTATCTTCCTTGCAAACCTGAGAACCCAGTCTGTGTGGCCCTGGACTGATTTTTGGAGAAGGGTGCCCTGTGCTGGGGGAAGCAGCTGGGGCCTGGGGCACCCAGGGCCTGAGGAGGACCTGGCAGGGCATTCAAGGCCCAGGGAGAACCCAGCAGGGCATCCAGGGCCCGGGGAGGAGCCGGCAGGGCATTCAGGGCCTGGGGAGGACCCAGCAGGGCACCCAGGGCCCGGGCAGGACCAGGCAGGGCACCCAGGGCCTGGCCAGGACCTGGCAGGGCACCCAGGGCCTGGGCAGGACCAGGCAGGGCACCCAGGGCCTAGGGAGGACCAGGAAGGGCTAATGGGCAAGGCTGACCCATTTGGCCCTCTTTTTATGACCCTTGAACAACCAGCTGCTTCTCCGTCTGTCTGCTCTGCCTTCTACCCCGTCTCTATCTGCCCCTCCGTCCACCTGACTGTCTGCTCTCTTTCAGGATGCCTTCCACGCCTTCCACCAGGACCTCAATTTCGTGCGCAAGTTCCTGCAGCCCCTGCTGATTGGAGAGCTGGCCCCGGAGGAGCCCAGCCAGGATGGACCCCAGAATGTGAGCGGGGCCCTGGTGGAGGCTAAGCCCCCAGTGCGGGGGCCTGGAGGGGTGGGGAGCATCGCCAGTAGCAACGCCATCCACATTACTCCAGGGGGGACCCGGGTCCTGGGCTGGGTTTGCCTTCCCTTCCCGGGCAGCAGCCGAAGGTAGAGCTGTAGGAGGCCCACAGGAGCCCAAGGCCCGGGTCTGGCTGGGCCGGCATTTGCCATGTTCCATTTCCCTTCTTGCTGAAGGCTAGCCCCTTCCTGCTCTGGGTCCGGCATCCCCATCGACACTGAGGGTTTTGAAGCACTGGGCTCTAAGGGTTTTCCCAGCTCTGCCTTTCTCTGCTTCTTGTGTGCCCACGCCTCTGGCGGGGTGAGCCCCGGCCACCAGCCGGCTCCCCAGCTCAGACCCCACGCCGGTGCTCTCACCCCTCCATCTCTTGGGCTCTACCCCTTGGGCCTGACACTGGGAGTGGCTGCAGCTTGGGTCGCTGTTGGGGGCTCCCGGGGACAACCCGGGGGGGGGGGGCGGGGAGGGCCGCTTCCATAGCTGACCAGCCATTCGGCCGTGGCAGGCCCAGCTGGTTGAGGACTTCCGAGCCCTGCGCCAGGCAGCTGAGGACATGAAGTTGTTTGAGGCCAAGCCCGCCTTCTTCGCTCTCTTGCTGGGCCACATCCTGGCCATGGAGGTGCTCGCCTGGCTCACCATCTACCTCCTCGGCCCGGGCTGGGTGCCCAGCACCCTCGCCGCCCTTGTCCTGGCCACCTCCCAGGTGACTCCAGCATTCTTTTGCCGCCACCCGAACTGCCCAGTAGACGTGGGGCCCGGCCCGTGGGGACACTCTGGACATACCTGCTGAGTGAATGAATGATCGGCCAGAGGCCCCGTGACGGCTGTATCTGTAGGTCAAGCTGCATTTTAAATGAGCCGTGGAAGCTCAGGGCGGGGAACCAGAAGTCTCCATGACGGACTGGCAAGCCCGTAGACCTCCCGAGACCCAGTTGTCCTCATCAGTTAAAAAAGGAAGTTGGCCCACAGGGTCTTAAGATGTAGCATGAGCGGCGGCCGCGTCCTGTGAGCGGGGAGGGCACCCTGGGGCCCCTTCCCACCGGCTCCTGACCCTGCTCCCCTCCCCAGGCTCAGTGTTGGTGTCTGCAGCATGACCTGGGCCATACCTCCGTCTTCCGGAAGTCCCAGTGGAACCACCTGGCCCAGCAGTTTGTGATGGGACAGCTGAAGGTGAGGGTGGGGGTGGGTGGTGGGCAGGCGTGGGGCTGAGCTGGGGGTGCCCCGCCGGGTCCACCCACGCAGTCAGGCACCTGGCCCCCGCCCTCAGAGCCCCCCTTGTCCCCTGCAGGGCTTCTCTGCCCACTGGTGGAACTTCCGCCATTTCCAGCACCACGCCAAGCCCAACATCTTCCACAAAGACCCGGATGTGACCGTAGCGCCCGTCTTCCTCCTGGGGGAGTCGTCGGTCGAGGTGTGTGGGAAGGATGTGGACTCACTCGTCTGGGCCTCAGGCAGGGAGGCGGAGAGGTCACAGGCAGGCGGCAGGGGACCCTGGCCACAGCCCTCCGTCGTCAGAGCCTCCATTTTCCCATCTGCGGTAGCCACTGAGTCACTGTGACCGAGCCCCCCACTGTCACTCCACGCTGAGTCCCTACCCAAAGGGCACCCCTTCCCCACCTCCCAGCCTGCCGGGGGTGAAGGGCCCACCTGCTAGAACCCGGGGTTGCCCTTGCCCCCTGACCCCAGCCCTGGCTGTCTCCTCTGCAGTACGGCAGGAAGAAGCGCAGATACTTGCCCTACAACCATCAGCATCTGTACTTTTTCCTGAGTGAGTGTCCCTCGGTCCTCCTGGAGGTGGGGGCACAGCCGGGGGGCCAGGACCTGTCTGCCCCTGCCTGCTTCCACCGCCTCCCGGGCCAGGGGCGGACCTGTTCAAACCCCCTCATTATGGCGCCGGCACACCTCTCCCAGCCCTGCTGGCCCCAGCCTGCAGCCTGGGCCCACTCTACCCGGCCCTGCCCCGGGGTTTTCAGGATTCCTTCCTGCACGCACGCCAGAGTGGCCTGGAGCCCTAGGGCCCCGGGGGGTTGGCGGGGTGGCCAGGATGAAGATTTAAGGGGACGTGGGAGGCTGGCCTCCTCAGGAGGAACACGGAGGCGGTGGGGCGAGGGCCAGCCCGGGGAGGCTCGGAGGCCAAGGGAAGATGGGTGGCCGAGGCCACGTGGGTGACGCAGCATCAGCCGGCTGGATGGGACCGGCACCAGGCCCCACGGGCATTCCCGGGGTGTCAGCGCCGCCCCACTCCCTGACTCCCTCGGCCTGGCCTGCCTGGCACCCCTGCCCTGCTCCTGAGCCCTCCTGTGCCCCTCGCAGTCGGCCCGCCGCTGCTCACCCTGGTGAACTTTGAAGTGGAGAATCTGGCGTACATGCTGGTGTGCATGCGGTGGATGGTGAGTGGGGGCTCTGCGCAGGCCCCCCAGGGGATGCAGTTGTGGTGGCGGGACGTGGGGCACAAGGGGGAGGCCCCGTCCGCGAATGCAGACGGGTGCGCACGCGTGTGCACGCGCGTGCGGCTGTGATGCGTGTGTACTTGTGCGAGTGCGCGCGAGGCGCGCGGTGCTCTCCCGGTCGGGGTGCCCTCCCTGGGGGTGGGGGTCCCCTGGGCCGGCTCTGCCGGGCGCTTGTCCCCAGGGAGGGGTTCCCCCATTGCACACTCCTCCATGAGGCCAGCAGGGCAAGGATCCCGTCCCTTTAGGTAGCTGAGAAGACAGAGGCCCAGAGAGGGGTAGTGACCCGTCCGGGGCTCCGAGGCACATCAGGCAGAAGGGGTGGATGACCCCAGCTCCCTTTCCCGGCTGCCTCGGGGGCCTCTGCCCTCCTCCGCCCTCCTCTGCAGGACTTGCTCTGGGCTGCCAGCTTCTACTCCCGCTTCTTCCTGTGCTACATCCCCTTCTACGGCGTTCCTGGGGCGCTGCTCCTCTTCGTCGCTGTCAGGTATGGCCAGATTCGGGATGGCAGGGAGGTGGGGAGGCCACACACAGGCAGCAGGGGACCCTGACCACAGCCCTCCAGTGTCAGAGCCTCCATTTCCCCATCTGCAGGATGGGGACAGCAGTGCAGCCTCCCTGGGTTGTTGGGAAACACGAGTGACAGGACCCCAGGGACAGTGGGTCTGCAGGAAGTGGCCTGGCTTATAAGCAACCCCATGGATGTCCGCCCTCATGAGCAGGGCTGCTCCGAGCTCCGCCTGGCAATGGACCCGGCTTTGCTCAGCCTCTTTAAACACCACTGGGAAAGGGGTCCCGTGATCCCATGGTGCAGACGAGGAAGCCAAGGCCCGGGTCTGGTGCAAGGGGTGAGCTGGACATGGGCAGTGCCTGAGCTCCCCTCACAGGGTCCTGGAGAGCCACTGGTTCGTGTGGATCACGCAGATGAACCACATCCCCAAGGAGATCGGCCATGAGAAGCACCGGGACTGGGCCAGCTCTCAGGTGGGCAGCAGGGGTGGGCCCGGGGAAGGAACCCAGTGAGGGGGATGGGGGCCCCCATGCCCGCCTCTCTCACCTGTGCCCCGCCCACTTCCGCCAGCTGGCAGCCACCTGCAATGTGGAGCCCTCGCTCTTCATCGACTGGTTCAGCGGGCACCTCAACTTCCAGATCGAGCACCAGTGAGTGTGGGGTGGGAGTGAGTCCTGAGCCCAGGAGCTGATGAGGGGCCCCTGTGTCTTGTCTTTCCCCAGGGAGGCCAGGACATAAGCCCTGGACTCCCTGGAGGCTGGGGAGAGGTGGTGAACGGGGGGGGGGGGG